AGGGAGAGAGAGAGAGGGAGAGAGAAAAACAAAAATGGTTATTTGCAGAGTCCTTAAGGTGATGGCTGAGAAGAAATCCCAGCACCTTCTCTTGCAATTTCACAGCCATACAAGCTTTACTGACTAAGCATGTGTGTGCAGAAGCCTGAGGTGAATGCTGGGAGTTTTTCTTAACAATTCTCCATCTTATGCTTTGAGGTAGGGCCTCTCAATTGGACTCACACTGATAAGACTAGTCTAGCCAGCTTGCTTTGGGGATCCCGTCTTCACCTTCTAAGCACAGGAATTACGGCAGGCTGCCACATCCACCTAGGATGTACACGGGTTCCGGAGAGCCAAACTCTGGTACTCACACTGTACACCAAGCATTTTACCCACTGGCCCAGGACAGATCTTTAAGAAAGCTGTCTATCTAAGGACATCCCTGGCTCACTTGAGTAGAAGCTGACCAGGACCAGCAAGGCATCTCAAGTACTTTACACAGCAGACACCCCCCTGCCCTCAGAATCGCCTCCATCCCGAGCACAATTTTTATGCAGTAAGAAACCTTAAACTCAGAACTTACAACGGAATTAGTTTTCTTTACACTGGTATCAGATTTATAAGTCTTTAACTGAATGCAAATAACGCAGGCGGAGAAACTAGAAAACTACAGAGCTCATGCTGCTGATCCGAGAGGAAGAAATACAAACACAAACACAACTTTTACCTCCATCTGCAGAGCTTCTGCCAATCCTCTTATGGCAAACTTGGATGAAGAGTAGGCTGTGAAACCGAACAGCCCCAGCTGCCCCGCCTGCGAGGACACAAACACGATTCTGCCCACCCGCCGCTCCTTCATGGTGGCGATCACTGCCCTGCTGGGGTACACGCTGCCCAGGTAATTGATGCTCATTAATTTCTGCAGGGAAGAAAGAGGCCACATGAGGTGGAAACACAGTCAACAGCCTAAGCCTGCTCGAGGCTTGTTTTGTCTCCTCCCAAGATTAACTTCTTTAATAGAGACCGCGGTGGTTTGAATGAGAACGGCCCCCGGAGACTCATCTATTTGTAGGTTTGGTTCCTAGCTGATGAACACTTTGGAAGGATTAGGAGGAGGTGTGTCTCTGGGAGTATGCTTTGAGGTTTCCAAAGTCCACACCAGGCCCAGTGTCTGTCTGTCTGTCTGTCTGTCTGTGCTGTGGACCAGGATGTAAAGCTCTCAGCTACTGCTCTAGCACTATACCTGTCCACTTCCCACCACGATGACCAAGGACTAAAGCTCTGAACAGTCAGCCACCCCAGTTAAACGCTTTCCTTTGTAAGAGTGGTCTTGCCACAGCGTCTCTTCACAGCAATAGAACACGGACTGAAACAAAGCCCAAAGGACTGGGAGGTGGGGTGCAGCAGATTTGCTGGCTACACGAGGAAGTGAATGACGCTGTAGATGACATATGACACTTAGGATCTACCCTTTGAAGACTAGTTTGATCTAGTCTTCAATTCTCACAGTGACAGTAGTTCCATCTTTGATGAAAAATAGTCAAAATTAGGGTGGGCACAGGCTTCTGTTAGGAGAGCTTTCTGTGTAAGCGTGAGGGATGAATTTGGATCCCCAGAACCCTCACAACAGGCCTGCCAGGTATCAGGCACACACCTGTAACCCAATGTGCCAGGCATCAGGCACACACCTGTAACCCAATGTGCCAGGCATCAGGCACACACCTGTAACCCAATGT